CAAGCGAGAGGGTGATCTGCAAGTGCTCTCTGTGAGCACATCCTGCCTTGAGTTTGGGTTGAATGACTGCAAGGTCAACCTCATGCCGAGACATGGCTATGTGCCTAAGGTGTTCTCAGTTTAGTCTGCTCACGGGTAATCACTGTTTTTGTCTGCTTAACCGGTCTCTTACTATAGTGAGTATCTGGTCTTTTTAGGGTATTGGCCCCAAGGACTCCGGTCTCATGGCCTGAACCTCACCATTTTTGGATGAGTTGTAGCTCTGTCCATGCACCCTACTAAGGCCTTTACCCTTGAGTCCTCCAAGGCAGGGCTTGTAGAATGGTTTCCATTCGGCACTTGAAGAACTGTGCTAATTGGATTTCATTCCCCAAAGTGTCATCTAAACTGTCACAATGTGAGTGAACCATATCGATAAGGGAATGTCTCGGTTACTGATGTAACCTTGGTTCACTAAGATAAAAGGAACAAGCATTGCATAGCTGGCCGTGCTACCACAACATGCTCCGCCCATTACATAAAGCCCACTATAGTAGTCACAATTTCAAAAATGATTTTTGAACGATTAATCGTGATTCATCGCATCCAAAAAAAAGTTTTTTTTTTGTTTATATAATTCATATAATTTATATTATAAATAAATATATTTAATATATAAACATAACATATTTTTCTGAAATATATACATGCATGTGTGTGTATTTATATATACATAATAAATATACACAACACACATACATATATGTAAACAAAAACCTTTATTTTGGATGCGATTAATTGCGATTGATCATTTGACAGCACTAATAAATATACACAGTACACACACATATATTATGTACACAAAAACTTTTATTTTGGAAGCAATTAATTGCGATTTATCGTTGCCAGGCACTAAAATAGTTCCCTTTCATGGGAACTTCGAACTGCGTCCTCTAGGGGTCGCTATGGGGAACGCCTCGTCGTGACCCGTGTCTGAAGCATACATTGAAAAAACACCAACTCGTTGGCCGGCGACAGCCATGACGTCACTACCGGTGCGATTATAGTATAAATAGGCGCCGGGAGCACACATCATTCTCTTCTTCGTCTTCACTGACCGGTCTGTTTGAGTAGTGACGTCATGGCTGTCGCCGGCCAACGAGTTGGTGTTTTTTCAATGTATGCTTCAGACACGGGTCACGACGAGGCGTTCCCCATAGCGACCCCTAAAGGACGCAGTGTTTCGTTCCCTACTCAGGGAACCATGGTTACATAAGTAACCTGAGACGTTATTTTTGCTCATAACTTTGTTTGTCATAACTTTTTTTACTCATAAATGTGTCAGCATATCATGTGTCTACAGATTCCTCGGATAATGATGAATCTGATGAATTCTGATTCTGATACATATTTTGCCAGGATCAGATGAATCACTTGTCCACCATTTTAAAATGTCATCATCAGCATACCCTGAAGGTACCTGACACATTTGAAGACAGCAGCACCTAGTGTTTACAAGATATAAGGATTTAAAAAAAAAATGCTTATAACTTTTGAAAATGTCTGAATTTCACGTTCTTGATGATGCCGATTTAAATTTTTTTGGTTCTGTCTTTTTCCATTTATGTTACGTATGTTTAATAATATGTTTATTTTTGCTATATCAAAATGTTTCAGTGATGTGGTTAACAATGTAGACCCAGCATTGAATTGCTAGATTACTACTCAACTATGTGCTGTTGAAGGATCCTTAGATCCTCACATGCAAATTGTGTGTTGTGTTTTCAATTTTCCTGTTTTTAATTAATTTATAATCATTTATTCACATAATAATTTTATAATCATTAGTCATTCACATTATTTATTACTTGATTATTTTTATTATTTGATTATTTTTTATCATTTATCATTATATTATTTATGTATTTTTATGTTTATTACTTTATTCATTTATTATTTTGTTATGTTTCTATATTTCTTATTAATTATTCCTTGCTTATTCATTTCCATTGATTTTCATTCTCATGCTTGTGGGGTTTCATTAACTGTTTTGTCTGTATGAATAAGAGATAGATAAGATGGAATGTTTATGGAAACCCAAGGTCAAACTGATATTTTCTGATGGGATCAGGCATCCGGGGCTGGATACTAATTATTATCTGGAGAACCGCGGAGACCTGATCGAACATTTTGGCGTAGTCGGCAGGATGGAATAACACAGATCTGTTATCTCCATAAGAGCGGCGTCAGGGTTGTTTCTCGCATGACCAGATGGTGGAATGTCCCAGACCACTGGGCTTCTGACTCTGGGCCGCGAGTGAGGACTAGAGCGACTCCAGCAGGCGTCTTCTCCTGGCTTACCTACTGCAAAGCAGAGTGAATGTGTTCTGTTTTGACATTTCATGAAAATTCAGTACATACTGTGGGAGTAGCTTGGCTACTGGGTCAGATTATATAATTTCTACAGTTATGGAGGAGTCAGAAGTTAAGATAGATGATTTAATTGAAACGCTGACAGAACAACTGAAAGAGCACTTTAAGATCAAAGAGGCAGAACAAGAAATAGTTGCTCAACATAAAATCAGAGTGCAAAGGGGTGGTCTTTGGGAACCTAAAGACATCAAAAAAGCATGGGGTAAAATTCAAAGAATGAAAACCAGAGAATCAAGGTGAATCCCGTGGATTTTTGCCACTTTGTCTACAGTAACTGTAGGAAATGGGAAATGAAACAGCAATTAGACAATCATAACAAAGACAAAGAAATCATGGAGAGAAAGCTGAAGGGGTTACAATATACAGTAGGTGTCAAGAGTTAAAAGCTCAGCTTGAAAATGAACAGAAAACTAAAACAGCTAATGTTCAAGATAAACAAAGGTTTGTTGATCAGAAGCAATTTTCGCTGGTTTTACCAGATTTGAATGCATGTGATACTGGTAGTGACATGACCACAGATTCAGATTCTGACACAGCCAGAATATTACACCAAATACACAACATAATGTTCTTTTTAGCAACGTCATATGACCCCTTTAATGGATCGTGAGGTCAGAGATTCAGATGTTGTGGAGTACAAATATTCACCCCTGACTTCTAAAGAAGTGTATGAGTGGTCAAAGGAGGTAGGAAATGTCAGAAAAGATCCGAGATCAGCTTTAGCTCGATTGGAAGCTCTGAAAGAGATTTTTTGGTAACACTTTCTATGAAGCCCATATTTATAATACATTATAAGGATATAAGGCATTATTCAGAAAAGATCCGAGATCAGCTTTAGCTCGATTGGAAGCTCTGAAAGAGATTTTTTGGTAACACTTTCTATGAAGCCCATATTTATAATACATTATAAGGATATTCTTAAGGCATTATAAGGAATGCATAATGCATTATAAAAAAAACTTATAATATGTTATATCATCTTATAAACAATCATAACAACTATTATAATACATTAAAATACTTACACATTTGTGGTTATAACTTTTAAAATTATGATTATTTATAACACACAATGAACACCATATTAAATCTGCTTTTACATTTATAATGGACTATATGTCTTGACATTGTTTATTTAAGATCTGCACAGTATCTTACTACATCTTGTAAGTGGTTAGGTGTGGAGTATTATTTGAGTGTTCCCTGTGAGGCTAATATAAATTTTGATGTGAGCTAGTTAATAATTTCAACTGAAAAAATGCAATATTTATATGTTAGGTAACATTTTATTTTGATGGTCCTCCTAGTCTATTGACTATAAGCAACTTTGCAACTACATGTCAACTAACTCTCATTCGAGTATTAGGTTAAGCTTAGGGTATGTTGAATGCTGACGTACTTGCAAAGTTACTTATAGTCAGTTTGTCTGTTGGGGAACCATCAAAATAAAGTGTTAGCATATATTTAGCAGACATACTACTAATACTCCAATGACTGCTAGTTGACACGTAGTTGCAGAGTTACTTATCAACAGCTGTCTAAACTCAGCTTGAAAATGAACAGAAAACTAAAACAGCTAATGTTCAAGATGCACAAAGGGTTGCTGATCAGAAGCAAATTACGCCCGTTTTACCAGATTTGAATGCATGTGATACTGGTAGTGACACTGATATGACCACAGATTCAGATTCTGACACAGACACTGATGATTGTAAAGGGGCAACAGCAAAGCTTAGTCCACTGAGAATTAACATCAAGAAGGGGAAAAAGCGGACTGAAGTTTATCTTCAGAAAACGAAAGAAAGGAATGTGTTAATGGATCGTGAGATCAGAGATTCAGATGTTGTGCAGTACAAATATTCACCCCCGACTTCTAAAGAAGTGTATGAGTGGTCAAAGGAGGTAGGAAATGTCAGAAAAGATCCGAGATCAGCTTTAGCTCGATTGGAAGCTCTGAAAGAGTTTTTTTCTCTGTCGGTCAGAGATGGGTTCAGCATAGTCTCAGTCAATCTGTCATCAGCAGACAGGAAAAGTTTGAAAGAAGCTCTTGGTGAAATTTTAAGTTGTGAATGGCTGACTGATGACAGAGCTGAGAAAGAAGGATGGAAAAAACTTAAGGCTTGGTGTAGAAAAGCACAACAGCAAACATTAGATTGGAATGAAATCACAAGATGTAAACAAAAGACAGATGAAAGTGTTGAGGATTACACTGAACAATTGTGTGAGAACTTTTCACTTTACTCTGGCTTGGATGTGGGCTGTGAGCCATCAAGTTTTATCAATATTCCAGGCAAAGTAGGACCTTTCCTATCAGTTTGGCTGAATGGGTTCATTCCTGAAATTAGGAAAGGCGTGTGTAACAGGAAGGAGGGCTTAGGCTTCCCTACTGACACCAATCTTACTGTTGAAGAATTGCTAATTACTGCAAGAGATGTGGCACAAGCAGAAAACCAAGCTTCAAAGTTAGTGTGTGTTTTGACTGCAGATCCTAACAGCTCTAACAACATTCTGAGAAAATCTGCAGCAGTGCCCAAAGCAAACCAAGCAAACCAAATGTTCAGGGCAAGCCAAATTTTAAAGTCAGATGCCTGTTGAAAATGTGGCAAGGGTGGTCACTGTGTAAAATATTGCAAAGTTAGAAATAGATCACAAAGTCAAAGATTTGGACTATGCAAATCCTCAACCTCTCCCTCCTTCAGACCCGGTCTCTCAGTTTGGTCAGCTTCCGCTTGAAACACAGCAGAGGTTGCTGAGCACTGTCTCAGCAGCCCCAGCGGCTGCGGAGGCAGACACACAACAATCCCAGGGAAACTACTGCAGTATGGGTGGGTAATGTTACTCAGCCATTATTGGGAATGGATGTACTGATGAATTTAAATTCAGATTTGCAATTCAGAGACGGGAAAGTCACATGGCAGTTGAGAACATTAGTTAGCACTGATGTGCAATCACACCCAATTTGGGCAAATAACAAAACTGATTGTGGAAACATCATTGTACGCCCTCTAAAAACGCTGGGTTATTTTTCAACCCAAATGCTGGGTTGATTTGACCCAATTTGGGTTTATAATCAGTAACCCAACTGCACTTGGTTGAGAATGTGGATGTGAAAGAGAGCATGCTTGGGTGTCCCAAGTTCAAACTCAAATTATTCTCTGTGTGCCGATACCACTCCGCCTGTCCGTGATTGCAGCGTCCATGACAGTAATATATGTGAAAAACAGAAGAAACCTAATCGAATTTGAGAGGAGAGAGAACTTTGAAACATATTGTGGCAAAGAGTGCATTCTTTTAAAACTTGACTGGTGACTGTGGTGAGCGGGAACTAAAACCTGAAAAAACGGCACCTGAAACAAGCCTGTCTGTGCTTGTGGAATTTATGACAAGAATATAAATGGAAAACAGAGGAAAAGTAATAAAAACTTTGCCAGGATCAGATTAATCACTTTTCCACCATTTTGAAATTTCATAATTTGGAACTTTGAAAATGGCTGCAGCAACATTTTATTTTAATACTGGAGGATAAGTCTTGGCCTTGAGATCCTATGTTGAGGGAACAACATAATTTTCTTGTGGCCACAAGTTTAATGCATAAAGTACCTTTGTGATCATAGCAACCTGGGATTATCACAACTTCACATCACGTGGCCACAACATACTGTCATTACCTGAGAAAATGATCTTGTGGTCACAAGTTAATATGCGGTGGCCTCAGCATGCTATGATATTCCTACAAGTTAATATGTCATTGCCATGACAAAACTAAGTGAACCGAACATGTCCCCTCCTGGTCACCTTATATTCACCTGGTTTGCTTCAAACTTCATCAGAATAATGTCAAGACAAGCAGATGTAAAAACGGTGAAGGGATTCTTGATGTCTTAAATGTTGTTGCCATGGCAATGCTTCAAACTTGAATGTTATTCTCCTATGTACTCTTCCAACAGAAATCATGATTTACACCAAACTTTGTCTACATGATTCCAAAACACTGAGGAAACTAAACTGCAAATGTTTTTTGGATATCTTAAGTGGTGTTGCCATGGCAATTTATTAAAGTAATGGCAAAAAAAAGTAAATAGGAATTGCCCTAAAGCCTAATGGCCAGTTTTACTAACAGCTTGTGCCAGCGCAAACCGTCTTTTGGCATTAAAATAGTACTGTCAGGTTTTACTAAAGACGCGCAGTGATGAATTAGCCCTAAAATGGCGTGGACACAGTTTTTTTTTTGCGCCTGACCTTATTGAATATGCATTTCTAGGAGTTTCCGTTTCAGACGCAAAATTTATGGGAGGAGAGTATTCAAATGAATCACGCAACGAGATTCACTAATGTTTGAGCTCGTCAAATTACTGGCATTTGCGCCATTATTTAACGCGCACCCCCCCAAAAAAAAAACATATCCTAAACTATTTTGCACTTGTAATGGATGCAATTGTTTGCTAGGAGAGGCACTGCAGAGAGCGTGTGGTAGAAGGGAGAGGATTTTTTCCACACACATTAATTTATTTTGAATGCCAGAAGAACACATTATCCGAACATATTGTAAGGGAAACAGGTCAATTTAGCTCAAAGGGAATCATTTATGATTTTATAGGGAATTTGGACA